ATTACATCAACAGTATCTTGTTTCTTTCATTGTATGAAAAGAAACTTCATCAGCAAACAGGTATTGAGTGCCCTCAGTGTGCCAGCCTCGGCTCCTTGTTCAGGGGATAGAGTAGAGAGGTAATTGCTTTCATGGGCTTCACATTCTAGAAAGGGACTCAGAAGATAAGTAAAATAAGATGCACTTTGTGCTTGATGGCAAAACATGGCTCAGAGAAGGTTAAGAGGATGTAGGGAGACGGTGGAGGATTTTTTCATGGAGGGTGGCAGGGAAAGTCCCTGAGGGACACACTTGGAATGAGGCAGGTCCCTGCAGATATCTGGGAATACAGCATTTCAAGGGAATTTCTGGTCTATTTTTTTAAAAGGAAGGAAGGCAAAATAAGGCAAAGAGGCAGTGAAGCCAAGTGTGAAATGAGAAGTGGTAGGAGATAGAGCCAGTGAGGTAGAAGGGGCAGCCAGATCCTGCAGGGGCTTGCAAGCCTTGGGGACGACTTTGGAGTTTACCTCATTAGTGGGTTTGAGTCTGGATCTTGAGCACAGGATGGACATGATCTGATTTATTTGAGAAGGAGCACTGTAGCTGCTGTGAAGATAGTTGACTGTAAGGGGTAGGGGTGGAAGCAAGGAGGCCAGTCAGGACGCTGTTGTACTGGTACAGATGAGAGATGATGGAGGTTTATACCATGATGGTCACAGGAGGCAAGGTAAGTAGTGGCCAGATTCTGGATATGTTTTAAAGGTAGGGCTGACACAATTTGCTTTGGGTTGGAACTTGGGCGTGAAAGAAAGAGGACAAAGATGACCCCCAAGGCATTGGTAGATGCATTTCACCATTTTTATGTCATTGGGACACCAGAAAGGAAGAATTTATTAGTCAGCGTTCTCCAGAAAAACAACCAACAAGATGTATATGTAGAGAGAGAAAGATTTATTATAAGGAGTTGCCTCATGTGATCATGAAGGCTACAAGTTTCAGCATCTGCAGGGTGAGGCAGCCAGCTGCAGGCCCCACAGAGCTGATGGTGTAGTTCCATTCCCAAAGCTGACAGCTCAAGACCCAGGAAGAGCCAAAGTGTTTCATCTTGAGTGTGAAGGCAGGAAAACCCTGATGTCACAGTTTGAAAGCAGTCAGACAAGAGAAAATTCTCCCTTACCTGCTGAAGGGTCTGTCTTTTTGTTGTATTCTGGCCTTCAACTGATTGGATGAGGCCCACCCACATTAGAGAGGACAATCTACTGTACTGTCTATTGATTTTAATGTTAATCTCATCCAAAAACACCAGCCCAGAAACACACAGAACAATGTCTGGCCAAATATCTGAGCACCCCATGGCCTAGTCAAGTTGACACATAATGTTAAGCACCATAGGAGGAGCAGTTTGGAAAGGAAATCACAAGTTTTGCTGCAGACATGTTGAGTTGGAGATATTTATTAGATCTCAAAGGGGAGATGTGGTTAAGCAGTTGGGTGTAGAGACCAGTGTCCTTTAGATAGAAAAAATTTTATTTTCCTTTGCACATCCCATATACAATCCTAGATCCAGGACAGAAATGGTGTCATGAAGACTATCTCTATTTCTTGGTTCTCTTTTCCTCTAGGTTGGTTTTATTTTCAAACAGACTTTAACTGGCCCCAGATAGCTCAAAGCTCATGTGGTCAGTAACTTCCATGATCTCTGGAGGAGAAAATGTTCCTTTTCTAGTAGTTCCAGTAAAATTCCCAGAGTGAGCTTTAATCAAACCAGCCTGAGTCACATGCCGATCAGTGAATCAATCACTGTGGTCAAGAAGAAGGTGATCTGCTTGACCAACATATCTCTAGAGTCATAGAAGGTTTAGTCTCCCCTTCTCTCTACAGACTTCATGGGCTGAAAATGTAGGTAGGAGGGCTTTGAAAAGGTATAAAGGTGGTGTTACCAGATGACATTGGCATGGTAATTGAGAAGCCAGAAACAGTAATACCTAAGGTAAATTAAAATAGTTAAAAAAAAAAACAGTGCTTTTGTGGAGGGTAAAAAGTTTTTAATGAGTACAAATCTGTATAACATCAACCTGTAAGATGTCTATGGTTGGAACTTCATTTTAACCAACAGATGCCACGTTGTTTCTATTTTAAGGTTGGGTGACTCCTACCCCTTGCCAGTCAGCTTATCTTTTCGCAACATCCATCAATTACTCATCCACGGACAGTGAGCAGAATTGGATCAGTGAACTTCCACTGTCCTGGGCAACCATGACTTCATTCCTGTTCCGGGTCTGTTCCTAATGGCAGCTGAGGTAGTACAGACTTTTCACTTCTTCCATGCTGAAGATTTTCTTTAACGGAGAATTGGCAGGAGAGGATGCAGACACAATGAAGAGCATTGCAGCCAAAGCTGAGACCTTTGTTTTTAATCTGTTGGGGGCTAACTAATACCCTGATCCCCAAATTGTCACATTTCACCTTAGATTATTTTTTGGCCTCACCAAAAGCTACCATATAGCCAGAGGCAGAATTGAACCAAGGTATGTGGGTGACCTGGATAGATAAGTTTCTTGTGACCCTTGAAATCGCGTTGTCTGGCATTTATCCAAAGGAGAAACTGAGGATAACAGACAAGGCTAGATCACTAGCAGCTGTCTCCCCTCTGCTGTCCCAACTCTGCATGCCTCACTCAGGAAGATAAAAGTCCTGGGTACCAGTACATACCTTTCTTAGCTGGCATCTTATCAATCTGTGACATGACTCTAAGGTCTCAAAAATCTCACCCTACCACTACACCAGGAAGATAATCCCTTCGTTCCTTCTGAACATGCACAATACTCCCCTGGAGTTCTAGAAAATACAGTTTTCTCCATCTCATCACAGCTTAGATGAGCCATTTTTATACCTGCCCAGCTCAGAGGAATGAAGAGAAGTTTGAGAAAGTTCACATTAAGCACAGGGGTCATTAAACTGTGGGGCCAACGCTTACCAGTTCAGAGCCAATGTTTGGGGCATCAGGAAGAGAAGGAAATGGTAATGTGTGTCCTGGAGGGTGGGGATTGGGTGGGCTGGAGAGTGAGAGTCTTCCAGCAAACACCAAGATGAAACAGAGAACTCTTACCAAATTCTTTTTAGCTGTGGAACCCTTTATTCAAAGAAATCTTACTACAATTTGAAAAAGAAGGCAATTGAGTTGAAGAGGGCCCAAGAGCCAACCAATTCCTCTCCCCACCATGCAGCAGCCTGAGGCCTTCTGAGGGAATACTTAGGGCTCAACTGGCTTAAAAACCGCTGACCTAGACTGTCTACTGGAGTAACAGGGAAGAATGAAGTTTACTCAGACACAAACTGATGATGCCTAGGCTTTGTTCCAGTGTTAAAAAGGGAGCATGTAGCTGAAGAACAGACAGTATCAAACCATTAAAAAGATACCTTTGGGCGTTTTCCATCAGAGAATGAAAGTGATACTTTGTTTTCTTAAACTATGGCATCTGATTATTTTTTACCTCTTGAATGACATGTATAGGATGGTAAACCCTTCATTAACATTGGGCATAATTCTAACTAAATTTACACTAATTGTTTTTCCAATCCCCTTTCCCCTTCTTACTAGTTCTGTTTTAATTGTGACAAAACTTTTTCTATCCCTCTTCATATGCTGGCCAATCAAGAGCTGACTACACTTCTCTTAAGTTAGCCTGTTACATTATTTACATTGCCTTCTCCTGATGAAATTATTAAGCTCCTCTGGGGAGGAAAATATTTCTATTCAAGTATGCATCCCTTGCAACTGACACAGGTCTTGCCAATAGTCAATAAATATTTGCTGAATGTATGACCACAGAAGCGACAGATTGGCTACAAAGCCCCTACAATGACAGAACAGCAGAAAGAGAACTCTACACAGGTTCTTAAGACAGAGACTTTGAAGCTGATTTGAGTGCAAGTTATGTGAACTCTTTAAGCCTTCATTTTCTCACCTATAAAACAGGAGTACTAATATGGTGGAGTTCTCAGGCAGTAGTTGTTATTACATTAAAATCCTTACATCATCCATGTAGTAAAATAGGTATGCATGGTTTGATATATTCCTTTACTGACTTTCAGCAACTCCAGAATAGCCCTGTTTCTCCCATTGTTTTATTTTTGACCACAAAGTAATATATATATAATAGACATACAAATATAAAATATATATAAACAGTATGCAAATATATATTTGCTTTGTGTTCTGAAAAACTGATAGCATATAGTTGAATTCATGTTAAAGGCATATTTGGGCCAATTCTGGTTTACATACCTCCTAGGGTTGAGATTTTATATGGTTGACATGTGGAAAAAGCCTTGCCTAATATCTGATACACGGCCATGGGTGGGCAATAAATGTGAGCCCCTTCTCCTTGCTGACACATAGCAGAGTACATGAGAGTGTCTGTAAGAGGCTGGCCCTACTCTGTCTGTATCTCTACCATGCCTGTACCTCTTCCAGCCAATTTACAGAATACTATCTTCAACCCTTGAGAAATAGCATTTTGAAAATAAATCACATCTTACTATGATTTTCTTACACTGCCTTCAAACAGTTTTTACAGAATGACAACATAGTACTATTTGGGACTGATCACAGCGGCCTTTCCAACTTTGTAACTTTGGTAAACTGTGAGCCATTCACACTTTTCTTTGTGCATTTCCCAAACACGTGAGAGAGCTCTGTCATGGCCAGGCCCTGTGCAAGGTCCTGAGACCAATGAAACACCAGCAAGGAATAGACGAGTGAATAGACGTTACTATATGATGTGCTGGTGAGAGAGCCAAGACAGAGAGATCTCATGCCTCTCAGAGCACCAAGAGGGAGACAATCCCAGAATGGGGGCCAAGGAAGCCTCGGCCAAAGACAGTGGATGGGACAATGACTTCTGAGCTGAGTCCCATCTAAACGCTACAGCAACGGGTTTCCATTCAGGTGAGGGTAATTTTAGTTGCACAGAAATATAGAACTTTAAAATCAGAGGGAAACTTAGGAAATAACTTACACTTTACATCCCTTCAGTAGTGTGCACCTTTTAATCTGTGGGATGGGAGAGGTTCCTGAGGTTCTCTGTGCCTCAGTTTCTTCACCAGTGAAGTGGGAGCCAATAATAGAACCTGGAACACAGCAAGTTTTTAATGAACATTGACCATTAAAATGACCTCCTATGCTATTGCTGATCACCAGTAAATGTCTATAAGATAGTACAATCATCCTATTCATTGATTATTTGTTAAATAATTGTTTCTGAAGTTAATAGGCTACTGATATGCCTTTAATAGGTAAGAGATTTTATAAACATTTTCCCAAATTTCAGAAGTCTTCAACATCTTACATGGAGGCCAGACCTTAATCTAGGCAGATGTCTTATTATATCAAAGTACTGAGCACTACAAGTAGAGGTAGAGGTATGTCTGAAACAGAATGAAGGCTTTTAAATAAATTTGTCTGCCATGAACTTTAGATAACCTTTCTCTTAATAACCATAAAACTTATATACATATACTTACATACATATTAAAATACATGAATAAGAAAGTAAACCCCATTAATTCATATTCCTCTCAAAATTTATGACATGGTCTAGAGCTTAAGAAACCCCTTGTTAATAAAAAGTGAAAATTAATAATGTAAACAGGGTCTTGCTGGGAATATTTAAATACTTAAGGAAACAAACTTTAAAAAACCCCAAGCCTGTGGCGCATGTCATCCATACACAAGTGTATACTATGCAGAAAGAGCTCATTAAGATGGCTCCATGGGCAAGTAATTGTTAGAGTAGACAGAGCACATGCTTCCAAAGCAATGAAACTCTGTAACTTTACAGATATTACCTAATTGAGATTAAATAAGGCTGACCTTTCCCCCTAATAAGGAGGTTTCATCATATGGAGATCGATATTAATATAACACACTCTAAGTACTAACGCTGAAAAAGGCTAGTCAAATGCACCCTTCTGGGATTGCTATTTACCCACTACTTAGAGGTCGGAATTCAACATACTCAGTTAAGGTCAGGCAGAGGCCTTCAGCTCTGGCTGCTGGTGATTCTGGCAGAGCAGACAGTGAGGGCAGTGCGGTCTTTGTTACAGACTCCCTGCCCAGGTAATTGTTCTGAACTTAAGTAGATTTACCACTGTCTTTAATTTTCACTCTTTCCTACACAGAACTTTTATAGTGTTTCATTCTATGGACATATAGGATTTTGGTAATGCTAGGTTAAAGTTAAAAATGATTCACTGCAAGATTTCTTGTGGCCTTCAATGTGGTGATGAATCTTTGAGAGATGCAGTAGAGATCACCTCCTAAACTTACTTGGTTCAGAAGCCGTTTTGGAGAAATGACTTACAGGACCACATTCTTCATAATACACTCTAGAAAATACTATAATAATACATCTGCTGCATCACCAAAGTAAAAAGTATAAATCAGCTTTAATCCTTTCAATGGCTGCATTGTTCCAGGGATATAGTCTAAACTTCTGGATAGCCTTGTATGATCTGGCTCTTGTTTATCTCCCCGGCCTCAGCTGCATTTCTCAGCTCACCTTCTCATGCTCACACTCCTCTGAGAGGGAACTGCTGGTGGATTCACTGTACAAACAAGCTTCATTCAAGGCCTTGACCTAGTTTCCTAGCGCCCCACTATGTATCCCCCAGCAAACTTTGCTTGGCTCACTTCTACCCAGTTTTCACAGTTCTAGGGAAGCATTCGTAGATGCCTGCTCCCCAAGACATGCACTTGAAGCCTCTTTTATGGAAGAGTCCTATGGAAACTTCCTATGAGTGCCATTGCTGCATTTACTGCCCTGAGTCTAGTAGGCCATCACTGAGTTGGGACTGTGTCCTGTACACTGCCACGCTATATTCCTAGAACCTACCACAAATGCCTAGCACACAGAAGGACATAATATATTTGTGGAATTATTGAAGTGATAGTTATTGCTAGACAGTTGAAGGCACACCCCAGTGTTGCTGGTAATTCAGGCCTGCAGGGGCCCACTCTCTGGGCTCACATAAAGGTTTGCTTTGCCATAGGAGGACAGCAGAGGGTTCCTACCTGCTCACCAAGTATTCTTTTAAGGTACAATTGTGAAGCCAGTTCTATTGTTGCACATTAATAAGGAAGCAGAAGTAGCATATAAACTGTAGTTTCTACACAAAGACCTCTTTCTTGACAGCATCCACTTTCTGAGAGGACACTGGGCCCTATCAGAGGGACATGGGAGGATGGTACAGAGTTGGCCTAAAGAAAAGGGCATCTGACTCAACTCCTTAGACTGCCACCTTTGACTTAGAACCAGAGTCTCAGGGCAACCTGGTACAGGTACATATTCATCACCTCCTTCTTCTCTTTGGCATCCAGAGAAATATCATCAAAGTCTGGGGACATACCACACAGTCTTTCTCATCATTGCTATGGCATCATAGATTTCTTTGCTATTTTGAAACAACAGCACTGATGTTGTGTCCATAGCTCCCATCTGGAAGTTTTGCTTTGTAGCAAGCTCACATAAAAGATAAAGATGGGCCTGCTCTCAGAGTGTTTGGTTAGGAAGAAGGGACCAAAATCGTTTCCCCAGAACTTGGACTTTTCTATGATTTCCAAGGAGTTCTTCAGGATGGTGACTAAAAATGCTGGCAGCCTTGTAGGAAGATATCATGGGAGTCTAGAAGTAGCCAGTATACAAGCTTCTGCCTCTTCTGAGGTCCCTGAAGCAGATTAACATCTCTAATTCAGAATGACTTGCTATGTTGCTCAAGACTCAAGTCTTGTTCACTTCCTACTTCTTCTTCTAATTGTCCTGCACAATTAAGATGGGGTTTCTGACCTCAAGTATGTCACAGTGGAATACTGCGCAGATGGACCTCCTCAGAGACTCTTTCCCATTGGCCCTCACACAGCTTCACAGCCCTTCCTTTCCCCACATTTGGGTCTTGGAGCTTGTGGTTGCCCCTCCCACCATCTCGATGAGACAAAAGATGGGTGCCAGTGTGTGTGCGTGTGTACATTTACCCATGAACAGCCAACCAGTCCACTCATGCACTAAACTTGGGCAGCAAACTACACTGTGGTTGTGCAAGAATAGCTCCATTTGTCATTGGGGTAAAGCCACAATGTGTACTTCTCCACCTGCTGGTACCCCAAAGGGAAGGATGCAAATTCTTGTGTATTTTTGGTTTCCCTTCTTGACAGGAGAGATAAACAGCTTGACGGGAATACATGCTGCTGCTATTGTAATTTTTTTTTTCAGAATGACAGACTCTCAATGAACACTGAAATTTGGAATTACAGGCAAAAAACTACAATTAGAACCCAAGTCTCAAACCTGAGGACCTAATGCTCAAGAACCTCAAGCTTGCTGCCTCTGAAAATCAAATTGCAGTCTTGCATGGGTGATTTAAGCACATGGGTTCGAGAAGGGATAAGAATTAAGCTACACTGAAGAGAGGGCAGGGTGAATGCACCGTCATAGCTTCCTCTCTATAGTGAAGCCATGTGTTTCCTGAATTAATAGATATTATTTAGCAAAAATGTGAAAAAGACAAGGGCTACTCTGCAACGTCTTTTCCTTATAATTCCTCATAATTTTCTCTATGTTTTTAGAATCAGAACTGACTTTTTGCTATAGACTAATTCAGTTTAATTTCCTGACAGACTTGAAGGAGGGATACTTAATGATACCTACGGTTGCATGTAAACTACTAGCCCTCTGAAAAAGTATGGTAACTTCAATGAAAATATGCTTTCACATTAGTTTCACTACTTAGAGGTAACCTCACACATGTTAATCAATATTTTGTTCCCATTTTACCATATAATCCAGTGGATGTTAAAGATATAGTTCACCATATAGACCTAATTAATTGAAGAAAACATAGCTTCTTATTGCTGACATTAAGAGGTTAGAAATAGCATCCTATGCTAATCTGCAACGCCAAGAAATGAAGATGGTTTAAATCAGATCTCATGACTAATGCATGAGATTCAAAGTTCTTATTCCTGGCTATTTTAGAAAACTGGGGTGTATTTGTACCCTAAAAAATAATTCTGTAAGATTTATTGAGATAATACAAAATGCCTTATTATGAGCTCACAATCAAGATTTTGTTCTGTTGATGATCATGGAAATATTGTTTCTCCATTTAAAAATGTTAAAATTTATATATGGTTAAGTCAAGATTCAGGAATATTACATTTTATCCTTATAATAATAAGGATATCCTAATAATAACCTAATAATAAAGTTGTTACTGTTGTTTTTTTAGATACTCAAAATCTGGAAGGATGATGGAAAGTTTAGACTGCTTTCTGTGGTCGGTATTCCATTATAATTGTACTTAACTGCAAACTCATTTAAACAGAAAAGTCTATCAGGCAATAATGTAAGCCTTTTATTTTTGCTTGTTTTTGTTTTGGTCATGACAAACTGTGAAATGCTGTGTTTCTCCTATAGTTCTAGTCCATGAAATCTGCAATCTTTCCACTTGATTTATGAAGGACCCTTAATTACTGCTGTCATTAGCACCTAGTGTTCAAAACAGTCTGTTAAAATGTACTGTTAGTCTCTCCTCCAAGTCCCGGCTTGCTTTATTTTAATTTTTTTCCAAGGGTAAGTAAAACAGTATTGCCTTAATAACAACAATCATTATGTACACCGAATTAAATAATATTCGAAGTTTTTTGGTGCCTATTTCTTTTTGTTCAGGATTTAGCATTTGTTTGTTAAGACTGGCCTACAGTTTGAACAAGTGTCCTTAAGCAGGGAAGACTTATACCTGGGTTTTAAACCAAGTTACTCATTTGCGTTTTTTCTTTCCACATGGATAGGGGTGCCAGACAACTGCTGTGGAGCTTCAGTGTTTCTGCCTGGTCATGCACAGTTCTGCAATATAATGCATAAATGTATAACAACAACTTGGCCTCGCTTGGAGTAAGGAAACCCAACCAGGCGCGTCCACGCTGTCATCCATGCGCGCGCACACAAACACTCACACACTCGTTCTCTCTCCCTCTCACACACACACACGCACACGCGCACACAAGAGGTCAAAAGTTGATTCATTCCCGATATCCCCCAGAATATTTTTCTCTTTTCTGGAAGCTCTGGCTTCCCAGTCTGGGTAGTAGTGAGGGCGGGGACCGAGAGGCGAGAGAGGCGGGAGCCGGGTGCCGGTGCGTGCCGCGTCCGCTCCTCCCGGGTGAGAGTCCGGGCCGGGTTTTGCGCCGTGTCCCCGAGCTTGTCTCACGGCCTCCAGCCGCCGCCGCTGCCGTGTTTACTGAGCTCGCGCGTCCTGATATCACTCCGCTGGCATGGAGGAGGAGGAGGAGGTGGAGGAGCGAGAGGAGGAGGAGGCGGCGGCGGCGAGCAGTTGATCATTGTGATGGTGGCAGGAGCAGCGGCGGCGGCGGCAGCCCAGCCGAGCGTTAGGGGCTGCTCTCCGCGCGGCGTTTTGCAAAGGACTTCACCGATCTACTTTTGCAGTCGCCTCGGACTGTCCATGTGTTTACTTCCCCCAGCCCGAGGATTCGATATCTAGGTTCCTGTGAAATGCAACTGAGCAGCCAAAGTACTTTGAGAACACGGGGCGGCATAAACACCAAAACTTTTTTGTGGAAGGAAAATGCAATAAGCAAGCTTGCCGTTTTCCGATGCGGTGTGGAGTGAGTGTGTGTCGCGCGTGTCCGCACTGGAGGCATATGCTTGTGTGTGTACATGGGGTGTGTTTTCGGTACGTAGGGAGAAAATGCTTGCCAACCACCGGAAATCTCCTGGAATTTATTAGAAAATAATGGATTATAAAAAGGCAGGCAAGGAGCAGATCTCCCCTTGAGTTGCAACCTGATTTGCTGCTGGCTCAGTTTGTTGTGATTCTTTTTGTTGATAGGTGTCTGATGGCATTCTGATAACATTCCCCTCCTTTTTTCCCTCGAGCTTTACAGTTTAAAAAAAGGAAACAAAAAAAAACCCACCCCAAAATCTCTCCCCCTTTTTTTCGCCCCGTCGGGATCTCTTTTCCATCCATGTGCTTGCGTCTCCCCCGCGTTCCACTTAAACTATTTTAATTCTTGGACCTAAGGAGGAGGCTGATAGGGGGGTGGATAAAAAAAAGTTCTTCCAAAATAGTGTGCCCGGGGAGCAGGATGGGGGATTTCGCAGCCCCCGCTGCTGCCGCGAATGGCAGTAGTATTTGCATCAACAGTAGCCTGAACAGCAGCCTCGGCGGGGCCGGGATCGGTGTGAATAATACTCCCAATAGTACTCCCGCTGCTCCGAGTAGCAATCACCCCGCTACCGGCTGCGGCGGCAGCGGCTCCGGGGGCCCCGGCGGCGGTTCGGCTGCCGTCCCCAAGCACAGCACCGTGGTGGAGCGGCTCCGCCAGCGCATCGAAGGCTGCCGGCGGCACCACGTCAACTGCGAGAACAGGTACCAGCAGGCTCAGGTGGAGCAGCTGGAGCTGGAGCGCCGGGACACCGTGAGCCTTTACCAGCGGACCCTGGAGCAAAGGGCCAAGAAATCGGGCGCCGGCAAGCAGCAGCACCAGACCAAAACCCAGCAAGATGCGGAGGCTGCCTCGGCGGAGCAGAGGAACCACACGCTGATCATGGTGAGGGCGCGCTGGCAGCGGGCTTGGGGCGCGCGCGGTGGGGGTGGGGGTGAGGGAGCGTGGAGCTTCCTAGATGGGGAGACGGGGGCCTGATTTGCTGGTGGGTAACATGAACTGAAGCCGAAGGGTTAACGTCAACTTTTCTGAGGGAAAAGCTGCCGTCGCCGCTACCTGTTAATCTGTCAGGGTTGTCAGATTAGGGGAAGAGGAGGCGAGAGAAGAGAAGCCAGTCACGACTGCGAGAGGCGGAGGAAGCCTGGAGGAGCGTCGGTGCGAGGCACTGGAAAAGTTTTTTTTCTCCCTTCTTCCTTTCTTGGATACCGATTCGAAAAAGAGTGAACCTAGACTTGAAACCTTGCTCCTCCACTCCCAGCTCCCCATCCCATTCCCAGTTACGGTGCCTGGCCTCCGCAGACCCATTTCCCTCCGCCCACCCCTCAGCACATCCATGGGGTGCAGAAATTGATGGGAGAAATCGACGCAGTCGCAGATTCCGGGTGGGCACAGGGCCCTCAAACTCTAGGGGGAGGAGGGAAAAGGGAGAGGCTCTCGCCTTCTCTCCCCACCTTTGGGACTGAAAGTCTGAGAGTTTTGTGAATGAACTTTGAAGAGAGTGAGAAGCTAGCAAGGGTGGCTGCGCGTGCGCGCGTGCGCGGGAGCGCGCGCGGATGCGGGGCGCCTGTGCGCTCCCTCGCCGCTGGAGACCCGGGGCTGCCGGGGCAGGTGGAGCGGCAGGAAGGGTCGAACCGGGAACGGCCTGGCTGGGATAGGAGGAGAGAGCTACGCCCTCGGCTTGCGCCAGGAGTCCCTGCCATGCAACTTCGCTGGGGATTCTTTTCCCTTCTCTTAAACTTGCCTTCTCCGCTTTGCCTCCACCCCGCTCTCGGCTAACTTCTCGGGCCCGTTCGATAAGCCCGGAGGAGTGAAGGTAGCTGGAGGTGAAAAGAGGCTTAAATGGTTGGGTGGGTGGATGGGTTCGAGGTAGGATGAGCAGCCAATGGCCTAACTTCTCCGGAAGGGGCAGTTCCCACCCCCTAGCCCTGAGCGTAGAATCCTTTCTCTTATCTCCTCTCTCCGGTTCTTTTGCTTTCCTTTCGGGTGGGGGAAGGCCGGAAGCTTGGGAAAGGTATCCTCAGCCCCTTCCCCCTGCGCGTCGCCCGGGGGTAGGACTGCGTGGGGGGGCTGGGAGGAGTGGTGCCGGGAGCTGGGAATGCGGGAGCGCTGCGTGTCTGCGCGCCCTCCGCGGGTTTGCCTAGCAGTCCGCACCTCGATGGGCGGCGCGGGGCCGGGTGCGGGTGGCCCTCCTGGTGCGGTTTAGAAATCACGCACATTCCGGGTCTGGGAGTCGTCGACGCCAGGAGTGGGGCCCGGGCCGCCGCGGGCTTTCGCTGGGCGCTCGGGCCGGCGCTCCGTGACAAAGAGCCGGCTTGGGGGAGGGGAAGAGGAGAGGCCACAGCGCTTGCTCCCCACCCTCTCCACCTCCTCCCACCCCGCACGTGAAGAGGAACAATTTGTTTATCTTGGGCTCCAGGAATCCTTCCCTCCTCCCAGTTCTCCGAGGCCGCCTAGCCCCTCCTCCCTCCCCTCCTTTCTCGGCGCGGTCCTGCCCAGTCCTGCCGGCGGCACTTCCCCTCCACCCCTGCCCTCTCCCATCTCCCCCAGCCCCCTCCACGCTGCCCTCCTCCTCCTCCGGCCCGCCGTCCCCTCCCTTGTGGAACGGGGCCGTGGGGGATGGAGAGGGAGGCGCTTTGTCCGCCGCGCGGCCCAGCTCAGTGCCCGAGGCCCCCGGCTGGGAGGGGCATTGCGCCCGCGGCCCTGCCCCCTCCCCCGGGCGGCCTTGCCTCCTCCCCTTGTCACCCCAGCCAGCAGCAGAGTTGGCCCACAGCGCGAAGAACGGGCGACTCGGTTTTGAGGAAAAACGACAGTCACAGAGCCAGGGAGGGAGGTTCTGGCCAAGCAAACAGGAAGCAGAAAACCACTGACACACTGTAGCTTTTCTGATTGTACCCGGAGGCGAGGGCGGACCTGCACCCTGTGACTCGCGTGCCCTTCTTGTGCCTATTTCTCTCCCGGTCCGCATCATCTCCCTCTCCGATTTCCCTCGCGGCCTGCCACGGAGGAGGGGACTCACTTCGTGAGCCCAAGGCTGAAGTATAATTTGAAAGGCACTGACGATTTCATTCCTGCCTACCCCCACACTCTGTCTTCCTGTGCTTGTACACCCCACAACGCACGCGTCGCGCAGACGGCATTTTTCGTGAGGCTCCAAATTCTCAGTGCTACCCACCTTTCGGGATGGAGGACTGCTGTGGCGTTAGCTTGCCGGCCGGGCAACGCTGGAGTAAAAGCTAGGGCCGTTCCTACTGCCCGGTCGTTTTGGATCGCGGGCGAGGGGTGGGGTTCGCAGCCAGAAAGTTTTCGTGATTGCGTTCTCTTCTCTCCCGGCTGCCACATCGGACCGCGGAGGGGTTGAAGGAAGCATTTTGGGTACGCGCGCCTGGGTTATAATACACTCGCAGGTGGAAGCAAGCCTAGGAGCCTGCCCTTACCTGGAAGGAGGTAGCTCCCTGCCGCTGGAGCTTCTGAAAATGAAAAGATAATGCTTACTTGAATGGAGGAGACATAAGCTGTAAATTTCATAATGAATTCCAATTTAGCAAGTTAACGGATAACCTTGAAAAATGATTGCCTTAAAATAACATTCTTCCAGCAATTTTGTGACAATAATTTAGCCTATTGATTGATTAGGCTGATGTAAATGACAAAGCTATGTACAGAATAGGAGTGTATTCTAGCTTCAACTGTATTTCACATCTGCGTCTCCCACTGATACCGTGGGAAATATGTGAATATATTGAAACACATGGGAATATAATGAAAACAAATCTTAAAGGAGTTGCATGTAAATCCTAAGTACCACAAAAAGAAGAAAATTACCATCATTCTTTACTGGTTATTATTTTGCCTTTAAAAATAATTAGTGTAAAAATTCACATTGTTCCCTAAAATGAAAGCGTATTTTCACTTAGCTTATGTGTGAGATAGAATCTTGAAAACAGGTTGCAAAGAAAATGTTGATCTTCATTTTCTTGAATTGACTGTTGGGTTATAGCTGCGCTCTGGTGGGGCACAGAGCAATTGTATTTAGATCTCAGGTTGGGTTCTTCATTTGTAAAGCACTGAAAGAAAGCAATCCTCAGCCAGAGCCATATAATAATAACGGTGACAATAAAAATAAAGATGAGTTGGATTCTTTACTGTTTTATTGGTATTGCTTTACCTTATAATGACCATTATGTCCAAAGTTCTTTATATCTATTAGTTCTCTTTCTGCCTGGTTTGGGTAAGAAAGCAGTCTATGAGGGCTTTATCTCTTTTGATGTGTTTTCTTATATGTTTACAAGTCTAGATAAGAAAAACAAACAAAAAACAAGCCAAAAAAAGCAGCAATCTTCCTTGGCCTCAGGATACTGGCAGGGGACTGAGTTTTGTATGGGGGTCTCTAACAGCTCCTTCAGAGAGCAGGTAACACAGGCCTGGGTTTGAGGTTGCATTATCCCTAGTGAAAAGGTTTCTGGACTTTTAGTCAAATGATCTCCCTTTCCCTCCATACACTTTTTATTCAGAAGGATTCTTTTCCCCCAAAAAAGTTGGTGAGAACTATGGTTTCACCTATTGAAGAGTGTCAGTTGAGAAGGTGTCTTTTCCTCTTTTCCTAAAATACCTTTAATTACTTAAATAGAAGTAATAAAAGGAGAAAATTTTCATCCTCTGTACTTAGAACTGAAATACTGGTTAAAATTTTAAGGTAAATTCCAATCGACAAATTCATTTTAAAGTCAGAGATAGATTGACTTGACAAAGGTGTGATCAGGCATACAGAAAAGCATTACAATGCAATCTTCAGAAATTCAAAATGGTAGCAGTCTTACTTGATCTGGATAAGTCTCATGTTTTCATGACCTTTTCACTATACTAGCACCGTCATAACTCCCAGTGTGTGCTTAATTTATAGACCGCTTATAGACTGCATAAATCTGTGTGATTCCTGCTCTGAAGAGTTTATCACATAAAATTCATTTGATAATAAATGTATTAATTGCTGAGATTGGAGAAAACTGCAGCCTATCCAAAACGTTCTCATCTTTCCTGGAATAGATCCAGGAAATGTCAACACATTAGTCCGGGGTTAAATTGCCTTATAAATGAATCTGGCTTCCCATTTCTTAACCTGTTGAAAGTAAGTTACTTGACTCTGTATCCAAGTTTTTTGGCAAGCTTTTAACATCAAACCATTTCTAAATCCTATGACCCTTTTCATTCGCTTACTCTGTTTACTGCTATTCTGGGTTGATAGGCTTGACGGTTGTTTCTTGAAAAGCCTTCCATAGATCACAGTGGCTGTGCCTCAAGTTTGTGAAAAACTTTTTGAAATTTCATTTCTCTGTGTTTCACAAGTTTTTGCCTTTTCTTTTAATTCTCAAGAATTTTTTTTAAAGCTCCAATAGATATTTAATTATGTTATTTATGTTCTTTCGTTGTGGTATGTTTTATTTAGTACTGGGCAGCCAGCAATCAGACAAGTAGAAGCACAGTTAGTTAATCATTAATCATAATCTATAAAATGTTCTTGAGGCTGAGTTCCTTTCCAGGGAAGGCTGAGTTTTCAGTCAGGTAGCATATTTGATACTTCTGTCCTGTCTCATTAGAATTATAAGGGCAAGTTTTAGAATCTTTGTAGATTTTCTGCTACCTAATATGAAGAAAATAAATAACCCAGGTATGGTTTACTGACATTTTTGTAAGAAGGATGAAAATTTTAAATGTTAAAAAAAAATAGGGTTATTTTGGAAATACCTCTCTGAGATCAATAGGCAAACTGTTTAACGTTAAAGCGGTTTCCTGGCAGGGTTCTTCCATTTGGTTGAGATAGGATGGGAAACCTCTCTCTCTCTCTCTCCTTAGTGCTGCTACTGTACAAGGAATCTAGTAAAATAAACCATTTTGCACATTACATAACAATTCTTGAACACATTGGAAGTACTTAGGTTTTATTTCATGTCAGTTACAGAATTTTATTTGAGTTTAATGCTCTATGTTTGTTAATTAACAGTCCTGTACTATGTATGGTCTTGAGCTTAGGATGGCTAACCTCTGTCCTGTTTTTCCACTTACCCATCATAGAGAACTGTGAAATCAATCAGTTAGACATCCAGTCTTCTAAAAAAGAATATATTTAAACATAGTGGCAAGATTTTTATAATACCTGCCTTTTAACTCTCCCAAATAGCTTTGCATTTTTCACTCTGCTGTCCAGAGGCTGACCGTGTGGCTTTCAGATCCTGTGGCTGCTTGCTCTGTTTTCCCTTCCCCCTCCGGCTGCCAACCTTTTGGTCTGTCCACTGATCTTTAGCACCTTTCTCAAAGAGTGGGAAGAAATAATGAGAGAAATTTAATTTCAGTGCTTCCTACTTGCATAACTAATGAAACAATTGGGGAAGATACCAATTTGTATTAATTATGGATTTGATTTCATATACTATTTAGTCTTCATTAGCACAAATAACAGAACAGGCTGAATTTTAAAATTTCATTCATTCATTCACCAATATTGGTACACAGTCCATAGTGCTTCATACAAGTTAAAATGCCACATTACACTCTTGTATCCAAGACCTTGACAATGTTATATTCTTTGTAGATTTTCGGCATTATTCTAGTTAGGTTTAAAGGAGTAACAGGTTTTCACTTGTGTGTTTTTAATCAGCATTAGGCTTTAGTGACTTCTCTGTTTCAGGTTGAGTTATAGCCCTTTCCCCTGACATGTTAAGTAAAAATATAATATGCTTTACTTTACCGCTGTTTGAAACCAATTTGATACTGGTTTCTGCAAAAACAAAACAAAACAGATTAACAGATGACTGCTCTGAAATTACAGGATATCACAAGTTAAATCTTCATTAAAAATACAGCATGCTTTTCGGACACATTCCAAAAGTTCATTATTCATGTTTCTGAGTTGGAAAAATAGTTCCTGGAAAATCAGTTATCACCAAGAACTGATTAGTTTTTCTTAACTTTAAAAAAAAAATTTCAAATTTAAGAAAGGTTAAAAAACTGAAGAAATAAAGTTGGTTAAAACTGCTCAGAAGATAGAGTAGAGAGCATGATATATAATAAATACTTAAATATCATAGGGTCCCATTCAGTGGATCAGAGAAGGAGCACTTTTTTTTTAAGTCTCCCTGGCTGTTCCATCCATTTAACAGTTGAGAGCTTTTGAGTTGTGGATAAGCAACTCCATTTGGGAAAGAAGCCCAGCTTTTTCCCTCAGGGCCAGATACACAAATGCATAGGAAAAAAATTACTAGTATGGCTCAGGTGTTTCAATACAAACTGTGCATACAATTCTTGGGGGGAATTTAATGAAAATCTCAGTAGGCTTGCAGTCCTTCATCTGACATAAGGAAAGTGATTCCTTAAGAATAATTTAGACACTTCTTTTTAATTATGTTGGACTTCCCAGTGGTTGGAATGTTCTTTATGCTAAAGTAGGATCTTTTAAAATACAAAAAATGTTCATCCTTCTTAGCAAACTGTAGAAAACGTAAGTGAAATGTTTAATTTTTAAACTAACAACCTCCAGACTCCTTACACCTCCATCCTGTTGGCTAGAATCTGTGGAATGTTTCATGTTACATATGCTCCAGCCCTCAACTCCGAAAGCATTTACTAGTGTGTGTGAAGATGTCATTAGGACACATGACTGTAGAGTGCTTCCCTCTCACAGTATCTTTCTCCATCTCCAGAAAACTCATGTCTGGACAGGGGCTTCTTTCTCTTCAAAAGAAGAGGCTGAAGTGCTTTGTGTCTGTTTGTGCAGATTCAACCCAGGTCGTCCCTGTGACTCAGGATTACACAGCTCTAAAAGGCAAGCTTGGCTAGTGCCCTTGCTTGTTCGTTGTTTTTTTTTCTTTGCTTGTTTGTTAGATGCTGAAAGTAGCTCAGTGATTGAGAGTGAATCGAAAGGGACCAGTGCCCTGTACAGGGCTTTAAGGAGTTAGTGGTAGGATGGGAAAGGCAACAGGGGCTGAAGATTTTGGAGGTAATCACCTGGAGTGGATGGCAAAGGAAAGACTAAGAGAGATGACTGGTTTTGCTCATTTGTGAGAAACAGTATCCTGCTGCCCTGGGAGTTTACAGAGCTAAAATATGCTTTTAGTATTCTATGCTGAACCTGCAGACCTTACTAGAACTTAAATATGTATTATTAAGAGCTAATGACAATGTTGTTTGTATATGGACAAAATCATGTTCCTGAAACATGTTTCCATGCTTTCTTCCACTGCCATTCGAATGGATTTGCATTAGTAGTCTTCAGACGGTGGGAATTTGCCCCT